CAAACAAACAAAAAACCCCAAATATCTGGTTAGGGTTTAGGCCGGGTTAACTAGGCAGGTGGGTAGTTTCTCAGAACAGTTATATTTTTTTAGAAATACATTTAAAAAACTTTTTTTTGGTACTCTCTACAGCCAGTGTGGAACTCAAACTCAACCCTGAGATGAAGAGTTGCACACTCTACTCACTGAGCCAGCCTGTCCCCCCTCTTAGAACAGTTTTTACCCCAACTCCTGTCCACCAGAAAGACACATAGGCTTTTCATCAGGAATGCTAATTTCCTTCCAGGAGGAGGTTATGAATTACACAGAGCAAGAATGTTCTGTTGGGACCAAGCCTATGAATTTTTCTTTCACAAGGAAAGCTGAGAAGGGCTAGCCAAGGCACGAGAGTGAAGAGAGACTTTTCCCTGAATAATGTTTTATAAATCTTGAATTTTGAACCAGGTAGAGGTGGCCCTTTGTGTAAAAAGCTAATTTAAAAAGAATTAAGACTTGGCAGAATGTGAGCCTCTTCTCAAAAATACACATATACGAACTGAGGAAGAGAGCGTTCCTTACTTACCCATTGCCATCTGTTGCAGAAAATATGTCAAGGATCTTTTCATAAATAATTAAAGTACTTCCAGTGAAATGTTCGGCTGAGTTCCTGAGCAGAAAGCTCAGATTATCAGGAGGTTTTCAATCTTGGTTTGGGAATGTTTGACTGACTGGGGGCTGGTCCCCAGGGGCCCGGGCAGAGCAGTCCCAGTGAGGCCACTACCCTGAACCCCCTGGGCACTTCGGTTACATCATTCCACCAAACTGTCACCAGCACTCTCCACCACACATCAGAGGAAGCCTTTGGAGCATCCAAGAGAAACTACTTGGAAATAATGTCATCTATTCTAGTTAGCTCAGATAAAGGCCAGGATGGGATGTTTGCAAAGAAAACAGGCCCAGGCAAGAAACAAATGGTCTGGCACAACAAAGCGGAGCGGGGATGAAGGGAAACAGCCCCTGACCTGCAGGTCTAAGCAGTTTTCAAAACAGCAGGAAGTCTGTGGGGCCAGGGCTCCCTCCCAGGAGGGAAGGGAGTTGGGGCTGCTGGGGACTTGGGGAGGCAGGGCTGTGGGGGGCTGTGGACTGGAGTCATGTGGCAGGGTGGAATCAGGCCCCACTGGCCTGGCCGGCCCCCAGCCTCGCAGGCCTCCGGGAATGACTTCTGGGAACTGGCCTCTGCACTGGGAAAGCAAGCTGTTTTGGGGTGAGTGGAATCCCTGAAGGCCGGTGCGGGGCCTCACGCTCACTCTCTGGTGACAGACCTGGAGGCTTCCATCTCAGAAGGCGAGCAAGGGGTGATCAGAAAAGGCCCCTTAGTATCTCCAAAGCAATCTTCATTGAGCCTCAGAATCCCTCCTACTGCTATTCAGGAGAGTCACTGCTCTTCAAAGAAACGGTTATAAATTCAATCCACTGTAATGTCTCCACATTAGTGTTCCTATTTTATATTCTCTCTATTCACTTTTAAAAAGATTTTATTTGACACAGAGAGTACAAGCAGGGGGAGCAGCAGCAGGAGAGGGAGAAGCAGGCTCCCTGACAAGCAGGGAGCCTGATGTGGGACTTGATCCCAGGACACTGGGATCATGACCTGAGCCGAAGGCAGACGCTTAACCATCTGAGCCACCCAGGCGCTCCTTTACTTACTCTCTTCTTTAAACACCAGCCACAATGTGAACTTCTGGTTATGGCTTATTGATTATTTATAGTGGTAACCTTGTTTCTTTTGAGACCCAGTTCAAGAACACTAAAAATTATGTTGCTTTTCTTAAAGTATCTTTTCTGACCCTATAATAATAAACTTGAAATATATTTTTTAAGATTTTTAAAAAATTTATTCGAGGGAGCGTGCGTTGAGAGCACAAGCAGGTGGAGGGTCAGAGGGAGAGCAGGGAGTCTCCTCCCCCCTCTCCCTCTGCTTGCTTGTCCTCTCACTGGCACTAATGAAATCTTTAAAAAAAATTTTTTTGTGTTATGCATAAAAACCATACATATTGCACTGCTTCTGGATTCATTTTTTATAAAGTTAAAAATTGAGCTATAATTTATCTTCACAGTGTTCTATTCAAATAAATAGAATATGTAGAACAAGGTCAAATATTATCAATGGCTGTCACGATTATAGAGCTGTATAAGTAAAAAAAAATGTGGGGGGTGGGCAGTCTAGTCCAGGATGGTCTTAGAGTTACCCCTGCCCCTGTGCTTCAGAAGTTCAAGTGTTGGAAATAAAAAGCTGAGCCTACTCCTTGCAGGTAATTCACTCTCTTCTTCAACAGTGGTACTCATAACGTTTGCAGTGAAGGAAATGAAAGATGGCGCAGATTTTGGCCATCACTCCTTTGAGGCAAAGAGGGATATGAGGTGGCAAAGTGATTTCTATGGAACAAGATGAGAGCCAAAAAATTGATACATTCATAGGCAGAATGAAGCCATACTAAAACATTTAGCTAGCCCCTTAGTCTCTCAAACTGCTTAAAATTCCAAATAGGCAATCATTCAAGATTAGATCATAAAACTGTAATGCTCACACCACTATAAATATGCACCCCCCTTATTTATTATGAGACCAGGTGCATCAAGAATGTTTATTTGCTTATGTATTTAGTGATGGTTCTGTTAGTCAAACTACAACTCCAGAGTCATGATAAAGTTGCCTTCCCATTACAGAAGTGTCAAATTAGCTTTAAGACAATTTACTTTTCTTTAAATTTACAGCATTAAAAAAATACTCCAAATGAGTTCTGCTACAAATTTCTAACACTTGTGCACGTAACTTAATCCTTTGTTACAAAATACCCAGAAAATGTAAGAGCCACACACATTATATCCTCCCAGAAATAGCTTGGATTCATAAATATATCATCACTGGCTGACACACAAGGCCACTAGGCAACTAAATTTGGTACAAAAGGAAAAAACATGAATTTTCATCTTGTGTAGACAAAATGAGGTATTAAAAATGTTTCCCCAGATAATCCAAAGAATTGTTAGTTCAGGAACATATTACAATGAGCTATGAGTCCTGGACTTCAGGATCACGTCACATTAACAGCCTTTAATACCAACATTCCCCGATGAATTTGATTCAATTTCAATGACATGTCTTTCTCTACGTCTATCCAGAGGATGGATCTGCATCCCTTTACTTCCTTCAGGGATCCTACCGACTCTTCACTTGTCCATTAATGTTTAAACCAGAAGCTACGAAGAGTCGTACCTGAAAGTGCTTAGAACAAAGCTCTGCAGACACTAGATTCTCCAAAAACATGCAGCCATCCTCCGACCACACATCCATCTCATTTGTAACATGTTTTCTTTCAAGTGTAAGTGATAATTTAAATTAAAAACAAAAGCGAAATCTGCAGTTGGCATCAGTACACAAACTGGCTTTTCAAACTCTATTCTACGTAAGAAAGCACAAAGGAGTTGTCTTGACACGTTTTACTCCAACAGGAACACAGGCTATAAAGGAGCTCCAAACACTGCCCCCCTCACATCACAAAACAGTCCCCACGACGGTACCCACTGAAAGCAATTGCCTTGTGCTGGTGAAGTCATTCAGTGCTGTTCTGCCAGAGACTGAAGCTGCTGGGCTAACAATGTTGTGCTGAAAGCGGAAAATATATTTGAAGGCTATCTGCTACCAACTGAACCATCTTAAGAGAATTCATTCTTTCTATTCCATTTCAGATTTAATTTTAATAAAGTAATGCAAATCACTTAAAGAAAAAATCTTTAATTTTAAATTCTGATCTATGCATAAAATTCATTTTTTTATCACGGTTAAATTTAGTACAAACTATAAAAATGTTAACACTGAAGCTTCAACAGAAATCTATTAAGATCCCTTAGAAAAATTATGTAAAGAAACAACAGCAAGTCATTTACTGGTATGAGGTTAACACACAAAGGAAAAAAATTCACACATTTTACTGAATTTACCAGTAAATAATTTTAGGCAGAATATTTATCATAAAATTAAAAGTTTGAAAGTTGTGTGTGGCTCCGTGTCAATTACAATTTGCAGTGAAAATTCTAAGCCAAATCTTTTTTTATCTACCAGAACAATCCTAATTTAAAAAAACTATTGGTTGAAATTTGCAAACCTTAAAAGGATACCAGTTGTGAAGGACCAAGTATATAACTTAGCTTAAATTAAAGTGGAAGATGGTAAAAACTAGATGCTTTTAATGTTCAAACTGCACAAGGAAAATATTAGGGGAAAAAGAAAACATTCAAAGCCACAATTACTAACGCTAAAAAAATATTAGCTTATTCTTATATTAAAAACATTAAATGAATCAAAGCCAGACGGTACTGAATTTTTACACGAACTTCTTTTGTATTTCAATGTTGTTTATTGAGGAGTGAATGAGAGACTACTGCCGGACATGCCAACGACACTTCACATTCAAGGGCTGGAAGCTGAGCAGCTTTCCAGATTGAGTCACTGCATAAGCCTTCTGGGAAAAAACCGAAAGTGACATCAAATATGACATCTTCATGCTTGTTTTTGTCTTCAGCTTTTTTTTTTTTCTTTTTTCAAATTTTAGATCTACTAGTTTGTTGGGTAGAAGGTTTCTTTCTACCCTACAAAAAGACTCACACTCCAATTAATAAAATTAACACTAGGTGTATAGCAAATTGTTTTCACACACATCTACGCTGAATAACTGATCTTAAAGCTGTTTTGTCTTAGATTTCCTTATGTCTAATGAGGAAACTTAATTTCACTTCCCTTTCACTTTCACGTGGGTGGCTTATACCAATAGAAAAATACTCTTCAGTGCTAGCGCAGGGCTTACGGGGAACCTCTTCTGTGGTGCGAGGGAATCCTTTCAAACACCACTCTGAAACCCAGTGCTTCTCTTCTCGCCGCTGTGGCTTTGCAGGAGAACGGCCTACACGACACAACTCTACTGCTTTCTTGTGCTCAAAAACAAAACAGAGAAACCTAAACAAAAGGGTAAACGTTTATTTGGAGTTAGCTTTCTGGTGGAGATATTAAGGCCCTTCAAGCAGAGTTCAGGAGCTCCTGCATGGCCGCCTGCTGCTCGGGACTCAGCTGTGCCACGCACTCGGCCCACAGTCCTCCAGAAGTCTAGGAAGAAACAGTTTCAGGCATTTAGATTCAGTGCAGTGGTCATTTAGACGCACCGTGCTACTCAGCCTTCGGTAGACTATAAGAACGCCCAATTCTTTCTTTTGAGGTAGTTTCACGAGTATCATTATAAAAGCAAGAAATCTGTTCATATCTTTAAAATTCATTTCATTTACATTAAGTTTTCTTCATTCAGTCTGACTTGATAAAACTGTACCAGGTAGAGGACACAGTCAAGGAAACAACACGTGAAGAATTCAGGGAGCATAAGTCACTTAAAAAACTTCGGCAGCTGACAGCTTATTTACTATTAAAATCTCATCTTTATTTTTCTTCAGACAATGAAAAAAAAAAAAAACCTACACGAGTATATGCTATGCACCAAGTGGAAGGTTCAAAATGTGTCAAGTTTAGGACAAATGTTTTAGCGCTAAAAAAAAAAAAAAGACCATATGGACAGATTATATGTTAAGTAATTTGAGCCTTGGAGACGAGAGAATATAAAAATGAAATTGGGTATCTATTTCTTTTTTCTATGGGGCGCCTGGGTGGCTCAGTTTGTTAAGCGTCTGCCTTCGGCTCAGGTCATGATCCTGGGGTCCTCGGATCGAGTCCTGCATCGGGCTCCCTGCTCAGTGGGGAGCTTGCTTCTCCCTCTGCCACTCCCCCTGCTTGGGTTCTCTCTCTGACAAATAAATAAATAAAAATCTTTAAAAAAAAAAAAAAAGTGTGGCTTGCTTTCTTCTAATGTAGAAAAAAAGAAAAAAAAAAAACCCAAAAAACAAAACCAAAACACCTCCCAAAAAACTATTTTATTTCCCCTGCCCCAATTTAGGCAGAACAGCTTACCTGTACTTGACGAACTACATTAGCCAGACGTTTGGCACAAGGATCTTCATGTTTAATTGCCTCATGCATTTCTCCTTCTGCAATTATACTGAATATTTTGGGCAGATTGGTATTGTTTGGGCCAAGAACGATGGGGTGATTACTGACCAAAAAGAAGAAAGCCATTATAAATGAAAATTATAAGGAGAAATTACTCAAGCACTCATACTTTCCTACATCCTTCCTCCAACATAGAATTTTGTTACAGAATTTTATGATTATGCATTCACTAAAATAAAATTCAGTGGAAGGAAAACAAGCTAATTGTATTAATTAGCTCTTCAGGGTCTTCCCATGTAAATGAGGAAAAATACTTGGCTCATCTCTCAGGTTTAAGGGCCAAGGAAAGAATGTTCTAAGTGCTTTATAATTTATGACTTATTTAAAGAAAAAAAAGAGCTATTACTAAGAATTTATATATGGCAAAATGGTTTCCAAATAAATTTGAAGTTCAAAAGGATTTAGGGGCATTTCAAGAGTAAGCTGGGAAATAAACTTTAGGCAGGTTTCATGGAAAGAAACATAACAGTGAATTTAACTAGAATTCTAGTCTTTCATTAAGAGACTTTCGGAATACTCATTTCCAAGGGAGATGATCAAATAGCATGATGGAGAAGTGGTGGCTTCAGAGGCAGGAGCAGATAAGGAGTGTATAGTCTCCAGGACGGCCATCACATCCCTAAATGATAGTTCTCTGTGGGAACACTCAAACACAACATTTGTGTGAACCTGAACTTAAACAGGAATGAAGGAATATGCCCACTGGCCTATTTCTACAAATTCCAGGAAAGGAGTGGTGGTAGCCCTTAGAGTTATTCATGAATAAAAGCAGTAATTAAGAGCGACAGAGCCTAGATCTGATTAATATTTAGGAGAACTTGGATTTAGAAAAACAGACACCAAAGAACACGCCTTGGGATTTGATAGCTTCTATAGCCTCCCAGTTGTTGCAATTCTTAGATACTCTCATGGACACAAAATAGCATTAATAATGCCAGGGCCCAGGGCCAGATCCTGATTACCTGTCTGGAATACTTTCCTTATACCACTGATTCCTGAATCCAAAGAAAAACACCAGAATTCTAGAGGGTCAAATAATGGCACTACCAACATTCTTCAATCTCATTCTACTAGTAAGTGATACATGTCAATTACACGTCAGTAAAGCTGAAATTAAAAAAAAAAAATCTAAAGTGGGGCGCCTGGGTGGCATCTGCTTCCAGCTCAGGTCATGATCTCAGGGTCCTGGGATCGAGCCCCGCATCGGGCTCCTTGCTCAGCGGGGAGCCTGCTTCTCCCTCTGCTTGTGCTCTCTCTCTCTCTGTCAAATAAATATCTTAAAAAAAAAAAAAAAATCTAAAGCCAAATAAACAAAAAACAGATAAATGGGGTGGGTGACAATATTAAAAGGGAACCTTCTTAAAACATTATGTTCTACAATCCCTCAACTGTTGAATCTAATTCCATAAAGGATAAGTCAAAATTAGATCTAATTGTAAGGCAGCATTAACTGTGATATGGTTTAGCATGATTTATAAAGACAACAGTATTAGAAACCTACACTGTATCTGAGGGCTGTGCACAGGAAACGCTGTTTTACAGAAAGAGAAAGAAATAAGGTCTATTTGTCCTTTTTTCTTACCTTTCAATCAAGTCACACAGATAATTGAAGGTCTGAACAGCTTCTTCTTTATCTTCATGTAGTGGAAGCCAAGACAACCAGTGTGGCAGGACTTCTTCAACGTTCACACAGTCGGGCTTGAACTTCATAATTTTCCCTACTGCTGAGATGCAGTTCTCTGTAGCATTGACATTTTCTTTGGTCTTAGAATCGGCTGACTGAATAACTCTTACCAGCAGTGGAAGTGCTTCTAAAATAGGCAATTGCAAGAAGGTCAGTTAAAACCTCACATTTTCATGGCAATATTCCTTTTTTTATCTTTGGCCCAGTTATCAATTACAGTGAAGAATTAGTAAGGTCTAAGGCATGTTTTGTCTTCTTGGCTGCAGAACCAGAAGTAAGAAAGGCAGGCTGCCCCAACGTGGCCAGGAGCACCAGCACTCACTCTACCGAGACCCCATGATGTCAAGGTCAGGAGCCTCCAGATTTATACTCCTGACCACCTCAGGGTATTTCAGCTTATTTTAAAAGCCCCCAGCTGCATTCCTGCGCTAACCCTACAGGGACCCCAGTACGTTTGAAAAGTTCTATGCTAGGGGCGCCTGGGTGGCTTGGTCAGTTAAGTGTCTGACTTCAGCTCAGATCATGATCTCAGGGTCCTGGGATCGAGCCCCCTCATTGGGCTCTGCGCTCAGTGGGGTCTCTGCTTCTCCCTCTCCCTCTGCCCCTCCCCCTGCTCGTGTGTGCTCTCACTCTCTCAAAAGAATCTTAAAAAAAAAAAAAAAAAGTAACACTTGCTTTCTCTCTAAAAAAAAAAAAAAAAAAAAAAAAAGGTCCTTTGCTACAGCCAGGGTGTAACTCCCAAACCCAAAAGAACTGTACTCTGGAGGACGGGGTGGGGAGGCTATGTGCTCCCCTACAGGTATGCGCTATAGGTGAGATATTTAAGAAGGGGAAGGTGAATACAGCAGAAATAGCTATATAATGTTTGGGGGCTTGGGGGTGTGGAAAAGATAACAAGGAAGCGATAAAAGGAATGCCTGGAACCAAACAAACGGAAGTACCTGTACAAAAAGGACGATAGTTATCTCCACCATACTGTGCCATGACTCCCAAGCCATATGCAGCTGCTTGCCTGACTTCTGGGCTGTTGTCACATACATATTGGAGCATTGGCCTTAAGAAATATTCTGCATATTTAAATGAGGCTGGACTACAGTGTTCTATGACATCATCAAAGATGCACAATCCCCATTGTCTGTCTGGCCATGGTCTATGTGGACACTATAAAAGAGAGAATCTTTTAAGCTTTGAATACTGGAGTACATAAAGAAGGTAAAAAAAAAAAAAATTTCACAATAGACTATCAGCTTACATGGATATTCCTGAAACAAGCAATGAAAAACAACACAGTAATAATTACTTCTTATGAATAACAATCTTCAACTTACAACAGAGATTTAATAAACTATAAGTTTAAAAGACTTTGCATGATTTTCTATAGAATCCCACAATCTGACATTACCATATACCAGGAAGAACCAGCTGCAGCAGCAACATATGTACATTTGCTTCAAAAAAAGATAATAATGCTGTCTTTAAGAAACAACAAGAAAAGCTGTGAACAGGTTTTAGCTTTATATATCCGCTCAACAGGCTAAGTCACATGGGCCTAAACGTTTTAAAAAATGTGCTGTGCTACTAAATACAATGTAAAATTAAAAGCCAAAGCAAGACAAACTTCTATTGATTGCTTTTCATGCATATTTTAAAAACTGAATACATAAGGCCATCATCCACAATGTATGATTGCTGGTTGTACGTAACAAGGATTCTAACTGAATCCTCTAGGGTCCACCAAAAAAAGTAATCATTTTGTTAATTTAGCAGGGCACACATAACCTCAAATGATGAAAAGTCATTTGTAGGTCTCTGGAACGCATTGTAATTTAATTGAACTATGGAAAACCTAATTAGCAAACCTTAAATGAGAAAATATCAAGGGCAATGCAATAAACTTGATAAAATTAAAGATGTACTCTGGAAGGTCTTTATGATTTCTAAGATCCATTTTAACCTGAAAGTGTGTTTTCAAGTGCTGCACTGAAACCATTCCAGGCAACTATCTAAAATAACTGTCAAAGAGAGGCAACACTTACAATTAGGTTGACAATTAACGGAAGCAGCTGTTCAAACCATGGTAACACCTTTTCCTTGTAGCTACTGAATATTGAGTGTAAAATGTCTGACACTTTGGTCAGAATATAAACATCATTATCATCCTAAAAACAAAAACAAAAAAACACACACAACACCCTTATGTATTAAAAAGTATCTCCACTATGACGAACAGTTACATTTACTTAAAAAAATCTCAAGAAATATAGAAAATTAAATTTCTCATCATTTTCTTAGGGGCATAGCAAGCATCTGGAGACTGTGGTTACCTCGATGATTGGGGGTGGCATCTCCTACCTGCCTATAGACAGATAAAGGTGTGGGCAAGTATTGTACTTATTCCAAAGAGTTTTCTTGAAAGTTTCGAAATTCTGAGACAGAAGTGTTTTTACTTTAGTACTGTTTTTTGTTTTCTGCAAGAATGTTTCTAATCTTGGAGGAGACTGGTGGAGACGTGGGGTCAGTTACTCATAATCCACGCCTGTCAGCATGTGAGCAACCCGCACAGAAATGGGCTGACCTGGGTCCACCAGGATGGCTACATGCCACACTTTGGACCCTGAACACACAGCGGAAATAGAATTGATGGCATCAAGTGATTCGATGAGGAGAGAACTGAGTAACAAGGTAAAGAAGACTTACATCAGCCACTCTATGTGTATTATTTATAAGGAAATCTGTATTATATTCTGTGGTCCGGGAGAAAAACAGCTGATGTTACAAAAAGATCTGGCCTTAAGCCCCAGATTGTCAACAGTGTGTGGCATTAGACAGTCATTCAACATCTGAATTAGAGTTCACTTATCTTTAAAATGCTGAAAGCACCACCAAATAAAAAGCTGTTCAGAGCAGTATGTAAAAGAAATACTAGGTGAACTTACAAGCGCTGTTATACGTGAGGTACTGCAACAAGAACTCACACACAGCATCCAAACCACAAATCAGCTAATTTCAGTTACTTATTCTCTAAATTTGTAAATGCAACACATGTCAGATTCTTCTGCTAAAACTTACTGATCATTACCATCAGAATGACAAGTCAGATGAATTAGAAACTTAAGCATTTAAAAATCTTCCAAATGCAAATGATCATATAAATTAAGTTCTGAAGGGAATAATTTACCTCATCTTGTAGTGACTCTTCCACCTGCTCATCATAGTCTTCATCTTGTCTTTTAACTAAAACACACCCAAATAAATGTCTTTTTAAAAGTCGCCAAAATGGTCAAGGATTACTTTCAGAAAGAAAAGCGTGGAAAACTTACCTTGCCGCAATTCTTGATTTTTAAAATGTTCTTCGAGTTTAGCTTTCAATATTCCTCCCAATTCTTCAAAATGTTCATTATTAAGGCATCCATCTCCCATAACTTCAATGCACTGCAATGAAATTGAGGAAAGAAAGCAAGCCATGGGATTTAAGGGTTTTAGAGTCCAAAAGTTAAATTCCATTAAGAATCACATGGAAGCATGAGAAAAATTCACTAAGCCGGTACCCTGGAAGACTAATGATTGAATGAGTAGATAATGCTTGGTGTGTGTTACAATGACAGTACTTCAAAGAAAAAAATTTAATCAACATTTTTATATGAAACAGATCCTGAGCCTATCTTAAATGCCAGGCATTACTGCTAGGTGCTGAGGTCTCAAAGATGGAGCAGAGCACCCAGCCTCTAGGGAGCTCAATCACCACACAGAGACTTCTACACGAACCCAGCTGGAGAAAGGGCAAGCGTGTGCTGGGAGGGCACTGCAGCTGGGGGAGATGATATGTGCAAAGGCCCAGCAGCAGGCATTCTTTGGAAAAATAGAAGAAAATTCAAACTGCAGGGGTGTAAATAGGGACAAATAAAGGTGATGAAGAACTTTTAAAACGAACTAGGGGCACGCCACGGAGCTGAACAAGAATACGGGAAGAGGAGTGACAAGTAACAAGCAAATTCACGCCTCAGAAAAGGAGAATGAACTGAGAGGGAGAGTAAGGACAGAGACTTCTGGAACAGACCAAGAAAGGCTAGCTCAGCACAAAGAAGACAAAGGCAATGTGAAGAGCAGAGGGATATAGGAGAGAATAGGACAAACTAGGTGTGGGCTGGAAATGAGCCAAGATTCTGCAGCTGGATTGTTAGGGAAATGATGGTGGAAACTAATCAAGACTGGACTATAAGAGCAGCGACTCTGGAAAAAAACAAACACAAAACAAAAAGAATGACAACACCAAAATATTAAACTAAAAAAGAATTAAACAATTCCAGTAAATAAGAAAATCATCTGTTATAGCACAAAAAGATTCAATTTATTTAGCAAGACTAATAAATGAACACATAACCTTATACATATTTTTAAGAGAAAAATATTTACCTTCGCAAAAGAATGCATTATTTCTGAGAGGACATCTGAATCTGGTTCTGTGCCAATGGCCTTGATTAGAGCATCACACATAAAATGCCACATCTGTGTAAGATACTCAGGACCACGAACTCTCGCACATTCCAGGAGGAGAGGCATGGATTCTGCTGCTGCCACTCGAACACGTTTTATTGTTAAGAAAACATAATCACTATTCTTAGATACACTTAGTGTAATCACTATCCTCAGATACACTTAGTGTACTCACTATCCTCAAAAGATCATTCTATCACTTTCTTTGCTTATGTAAACATTAAAGTGCTCACTGAGCACCAGGAACGTGTGTTTATCCGAGATTGCTACCCAGGAGCTTGCGGTAAGTAGAATATGGGTACAAAAACAGACATCTCCCTACCCATGTGACTTATCTCCTGTCTTTTCTGTCACCTATAATACAGCAGCAATGAGTCTGAAATGTGAAAGGATCTGGGATCCTTAGAGCATATCTCAAGATGTTCCTATCCCAAAACTTTAGGCAATATAGGTTTCTAATAAATGCAACCAAAGCTATGATTCTCCTGGGAAAACTAATGAGGCTCTCCTCCTGTCAGAGCCTTTTCGGTTTTCACTGAAGATCAAGTTGCCCCTCCCTATCTAATATCATTTGTAAAATAAGGTCCTGAGACTAGCTCGTCCTCTGGCATCATGGTAAGTTTCTGTTGGGCAAAAGCTGTCTTTTGTTAAGGATGCCACTACAGAATACTGCATGGAGTATTCTGTGGGGCTGTGGAGTCAGGCAGATCTCGGTTTGGGTCTGGACTCCAAAACTGTTGGGCTGTCCTTTTTTCAAAATCCATCTATGAAATTGCGTGTGTGTGTGTGTGTGTGTGTGTAAAGGCATAAAAATGTTTCTGTATGTATTAACTACTATTATCATGTTGAGAAGAAAACCTTTAACATGCAGATTTATCAAGAAATATTTCTCCCCAATGTAGAACCACAGAAAATTATCGGTGGGTCTCTAACCTATTAAGAAAGATCTTAGTTTCTTAACATTACCAAAAAATACTTGAGAAAAATAGCAATTATATATAACTGCAAACGTACGCTAATAAAATATCAATCCTTAAAATCCTTCAGAGGTTCACAGAAAAAGCTGTCAACTAGTAGTTCGGTAACATTTTCATTTTCATGTTTTTGGCACAAGCAAAAACCTATGAAACTAAAGCACATGCAAAAAATGAAGCTTCGTGCAAACAGTAACGGTGATGTAGGCTTCAGTTAACACAAAGTCTAATACTTGAACAAGCTATAATTTAACTAATTCTAGAAACGTCTTGCGTTCAAAAGTTGTAGGATATCATCGTGGAAGTAAAATTTCAGTAGAGGGACCATCAGTTTGACAACTTGCTCGGTATATTCCACAAAGCCTTCCTTCAACTCTTTAGCATAGCAAACCTGAAAACAAAATATTGGAAAAGACATCAAGATCCACGTTAGTTTTAAGATATTAATATCTATTAACAAATAGCAGAATCATAAGGACCACATAATGCTGCATCCTGACTAGAAATACATTTAAAGCTGCATACAGGGGGGTGCATGGGTGGCTCAGTTCATTAAGCATCCCACCCATGATTTCTGCTCAGGTCATGATCTCAGGGTTGTGAGATCAGGCCCTGTGTTGGGCTCTGTGTTCAGCACGGAGTCTCCTTGAGAGTCCCTCTGCCCCTCCCCGGGCTTGCACACACTCTGTCTCTCAAATTAAGGAAGAAAAAAGCTGCATGCAGTACTGTGAAAGGTGTTTGGGAAACACAAATATAAACGTAAAAAGAACTGTAAAATGGGAAAGGGCCATGGCGTGACTGCAGTATACACTGTTGTTTAAAGGCTCACACACGGAACATTTTAATTCTTTTGCATGGGAGAATTTTGCAAGTTTTGGCACTCCGAGAAACCTTAAACAAAATCCATCAATTAAGGAAAATAATTTAAAAAGATAAGGGGCACCTGGGTGGCTCAGTTGGTTAAGCAGCTGCTTTCAGCTTAGGTCATGATCTCAGGGGCCTAGAATCGAGCCCTACATTGGGCAACCTGCTTGGTGGGGAGTCTGCTTCTCCCTCTCCCACTGCCCTTCCCCCTGCTTGTGCACACACTCTCTCTCAAATAAATAAATAAAATCTTCAATAAATAAAAAAAAGATATAGGGGCTCCTGGGTGGCTCAGTTGGTTAAGCGTCTAACTCCTGATTTTGGCTCATGTCATGATCTCAGGGTCGTGAGATCGATCCCTGTGTCAGGCTATGCTCTGAGCAAGGAGCCTCTCCCTCCACGCTCATCCTCTCGCTTTCAAAAAAAAAAACAAAAAACTAAATATGTAATTGTAGCGTATCACTTACTCTGTAAAACTGCAAATAGGCTTACGTTATCTTGTATTTTTTTTTTTTTTTAATCATTTCAGGGGTGACTGGGTGACTCATTCAGTTGAGCTTCCAGCTCTTGGTTTCAGCTCAGGTCATAATCTCAGGATCTTGGGATCTAGCCCCACTTCGGGCTCCGTGCTCAGTGGGGAGTCTGCTTGAGTATTCTCTCTCCCCCTCAAATAAATAAATTTTTTTTTTTT